CCAGCTGCGCCCAGCTCCACTACTCCGTGCCCGAGGATCGAGAGCCGGGCTTCTCTGTGGGCGACCTGGCCAAGGACCTAGGGGTGGAGGTGCGGAGCCTGGCCGCCCGCAACCTGCGCCTGGTGAGCGAGGGTGGGCAGCGGCACTTCCAGGTGGACCTGGTGGCAGGCGTGCTGCTCCTCGACAGCAGGCTGGACCGGGAGGCACTGTGTGGGCAGAGCCCCACGTGCTCCCTGCACCTCCAGCTCGTCATGGAGAATCCCCTGCAGCTCCACCGTGTTGAGGTGGACGTCCTCGACGTGAACGACAACGCGCCCCAGTTCCCCAAGCCGGAGGTGGTGCTGGAGATCACTGAGGTGGCCAACCCTGGGACTCGGCTGCCCTTGGAGGTAGCAGAAGACCCGGATATGGGCTCCAACTCCATCTCCACCTATGAGCTCAGCCCCAGCAAGCATTTTGCCCTGAGCATCAATGTGAGAGGGGATGGTGTTAAAATGCCTGAGATTGTACTTGAAAAAGCACTGGATAGAGAGAAAGTGCCTGTTCATCATCTAACACTGACAGCCTTGGATGGAGGGAATCCAGTGAAATCTGGCACTGCCAAGGTTACCATCCATATCCTGGATGCAAATGACAACCCTCCTGTCTGTGACCCACCCATATCCAAGGTACATCTGGAGGAGAATGTGCCAGTGGGCACTCTGGTCACCAAGTTGAATGTCACCGACCTGGATGAAGGTCCCAACGGGGATGTGGAATACTCGTTCAAAACCAGCAATAACGCACCTGGTAAATTCACCAAGCTGTTCTCCTTAGATCCCCGGACAGGGGAGATCAGAACCAAAGCCCTGCTGGATTATGAGGAATCCAGTGCTTATGAGATTGCTGTTCGAGCCAGGGACAAGGGATCCCCAGCCATGGAAGGCCACTGTCACCTGAGAGTGGAGTTAATAGATATCAATGATAACAGCCCAGAGATTGTGCTGACCTCTGTCTCCAGCCCAGTGCAGGAGGATGCAACCCCAGGCACTGTGATTGCCCTCATCGGTGTGAAGGACAGCGATTCCGGTGACAACGGGCAGGTCCGTCTGCAGATAGCAAAAGAGCTCCCGTTTAAACTGGTGTCATCTTTTAAAGAGCACTTCTCACTGGTCACAAGTGGTCCCCTTGATCGGGAGAAGGCCAGTGGATACAACATCACAGTGAGGGCTGTGGATTCTGGGTCCCCCCAGAGGGCCACACAAAAAACCTTTTACCTCCGCATTGCTGACGTGAACGATAACGCCCCGAATTTCTCCAGCCCTTTTGATACAGCTCACGTTCAGGAAAACTCCCTTCCTGGAACTTCTGTCTTTTCAGTGTCAGCGTCTGATCCTGATGAGGGTAGCAATGCCAAGCTGTCTTACTCCATCCTGGATAATGGGATGCAGGATGTACCCGTCTCAACCTACTTCCGAATAGACCAGGACAACGGCACCATCTACACCGTGCGAGCTCTGGATTACGAACAGGACAAGGTGTTCCAGGTGCCTGTGCAGGTGAAGGATGCTGGGTCTCCTGTGCTGAGTAGCACTGCTGTGGTCCATGTGTTCGTCCTGGATGAGAACGACAATGCTCCCAACATTGTCTATCCCTCTGTCCCCAAGGGCTCTGCCTTCCACCAGGCCATCCCGACCTTGGCAGAGCCTGGCTATCTGGTCACCAAAGTTGTAGCAGTTGATGCTGATAGTGGCCACAATGCCTGGCTGTCCTACCAGCTGCAGGAGACGGCTGAGGCTTTGCCTTTCCAAGTGGAACGCCGCTCTGGAGAGATAAGGCTTGCACAGGCTCTCAGGGAGTCAGAAGATTCCCACAGGCTGGTGGTCGAAGTGAGGGACAATGGCACACCGTCCCTCTCGGCCTCCGTGGTAATAGTCATTTCTCCGGAGGAAAACAGCGTGCAGGACTTCTCCAAGTCCTTGGACCTCCCGCAGTCTTCTCCCCAGGACACCAACCTAACGCTTTACCTCATCATCTCCTTGGTGTCCATTTCCCTCGTGTCCTGCGTGATGTTTGCTCTGGTGGCTGCCCGGTGTCTCAAAGCTGGCAGTGCCAGCTGGACCTTGGCGGGTTGCTGCCGGGGGACTGGCCGCAAGCCCGCCTCCCATTTCCGAGGGCAGATGAAGCCAGATGGCTTCATCAAGTACCTGGACGTGGGAGGAGCGGGTTTGACCTCCCAGGCACAGAACTACACCTCCTGTTTCTCGCCCATGTCTGAGCAGAGCGATTTCCTCTTTGTAAAGCCTTTCAGCCATTCTAGCACTGCGGAGACCGTGGCTGCCTATGAGCAGGTGACCAGCACCTTAGCGAGTCCCTGCGATGGGGTAAGAGATGGGTCTTTCTTACTGTCCTCTCTGCTAAGTGCAACAGTCTGTAATATCCAGGCCAGCTGGCTCTTCTCTGTCTGCCCTTCCTCCTAAGAAAGTGGCCTCGGGGAATGTGTGTCACCGTCACCTCCTGGGAGGTGGCAGGTGAAAGTTTTGGCTGGGCTCGCTGGAGCTGGGGGACGGGGCTGAGCAGCACTGTAGAATCAAAGACAGCGTGTTTGTGGCAGTGGAGAGTTTCCTCTTGGCCCCGTTTGTACTCATTTCTTTTTGAAGTGATTCTTAGCGTGGTCAGGGACATGCTTTTGGGGGGGGGATTAACTTCTTGATTCCATTTAACCCCTTTGTTCTGCACGGCATACAAACCGTGACAGGGGAGATGTTACGTGGAAGAAAAGTCTGTCAGTGTTTCTTTTGCTCAGTTTTAGAGATGCACTGTAGAAATTTCTCATTTCTTAACCTCCAAGTGTTATTAATTACTGACTGTGCCCCAGCAAGGGATCATTTTTCAGCTTGAGCAAGGGGCTGAATTCACTATTCAGCACTGAACTACTGAAATGTCAGTAGTGGCATTATTCACAAAGATCCTGGTAACCTTATGTGCCCTTGGGCTTGCAGAGGCTGAGGCAGCGGCAAGCTTTGAAAACTTGAGCTCCTTGTACTCAGATGCCTAAATATAGATGTAGGTGACTGTGTTTAGCTGTAGCTTTTATAACTTGGGGGTATAAAAAGTAACGCAATTTTGTGTCACAAATGCCTGCCCTAAATTTGAAAATGGTAATTACAGCAGGAACTCAAAATATAGATTGGGAAGGGCTTCTTTAGTGCAGGATTGTGTGTCAGCGTGTGCAAAAATGTGTATCTGAAATCTGGAGGGCAAGTATTTAAACAGCTTCATTTGCATGCAGCTTGGGGACCACTGGGGCATCTATTTCAGGGGAGTAATTTATTCTAATATCTTCTTTCATGAGGATCATCAAAGCTGCAGAGAAATTAATAAAAGCACATCTACTAAATAAAAAATCTAGGTCAGCTCTGCCCTGTCTTCACTTTGCCTTAGTAATTGCATGTACAAGCAGAATAATCCCATAAAACTGATGTTCCATTGTGTGGACTGTGAACGGCTCATTCCTAAAATAGCTGAGAGAAGTGTTGTCCTTTCCAGGTAGTATGTCATCACTCTGGAGTCAATCAAGATTTAATTATTATTATTTAATTATTTAATTAAGGGTTCATTATGATTTTCGGAAGTGTGTGTTTTCCAGACAGAAAACAGCTCTGCTATTTAGTGTTTTCCACAAAGGCGTAATTCAAACAGGAATAAGCAAGCATACTCCATGTCCTTCCTTATTTACAGAATGTTCATTGTCTGGTGGTAAAATAACATGGGCAGAAAGTGATACGGGGGCTTCTTAATGAGGTTACAAAGTGTGCTGTTGTGTCTGAAGGTTATTGTGTCTCCTAAACAAATAATGCTTTTTCCTCTTGCTGTCGGAAGTTCATTCTTTTCTCTGTGGACAGAAAAATATTGTCGTGCTCCAAGGCCACAGCATCTAGGAAAAGTCATTCAAATACAGTGTATGAAAATAAGATCTCAGGCAGGCTTTTTTAAGGACAGAAGGAGGAGAGATTAGGAAGGTCTGTTGCCATTTTACCTTAGAGCATTAAAAGCATCTTCCTCAGTATCAATTAACTCTGCCACCCCCACACCCCCCCTTCCTCCTCCAAGCTCATTACTGTGGTACCACTGCTCCTGCTGAATTGATGCCCTTATCAGTTTATTTCATGCTTCATTTCTTTCACAGCCTGGTTTCCTGAGCTGCTTTGGAAGATCATTCTCTGAACAGTTTTTGTCATGCTTTTCAGTATTCATGCTGGTTCAGAATAACTCAGGAAAGAGGGGGGGGGAGCTTTCTCTTTGTTCTAATTGATTTGCTTCACTTGGAAGGAACATGCTGATATTCCAGACTGAAATAATCCAGGATCAGCTCGCTTTCATTTTTCAAAGGAAAGAATGGAGGTATTAAAACTCTTATTTTTCTCTGCAGCAAGCTCAGCCCAACACAGACTGGCGCTTCTCTCAGACCCAGAGACCTGGAACAAGTGGGTAAGTGCCTCTTTCTCCATTTTTTGTGTGGGGTGAAGGTTTCTTTCCTTTGTGTGTGCCACTTCCAGTGATGGAAAGCCCCTGACTGGCAGCTCTGAGAATGGGTGTCCCCTGTCATTGAGAGAGTCAGAAATGGAGCTGCTCCTGTGTCAGCTGTGTGTGGTGGGGTGTGACAGCTGTTGTTGGCAATGGTGTGTCTGGGTTTGGTGTCTACACCTCAAGGAGGACAGTCAGGAACTGGAGGAAACTCCAGGTGAAGTTGTGAGATGGTTAAAGGACTAGAAAATATGTTTCACAGAGAAAGGCCTCTTCTCTAAAGCAGATTTTGAGCATGTAACGAGATTCTGAGTCCAAATTCTTAATTCCTCTCCTTGCACAGAGGCCACTGCAAATCCCTGGAAATCACTCCCCTTACCAGTCCTGGAGCTTGAGCTCTGTGCTGCTGAAGTGTATTCACAGAATCACAGAATGGGTCAGGCTGGAAGGGGCCACAGGGGGTCACCTGGCCCAGCCTCCCTGCTCAGGCAGGGTCATCCTAGAACACATGGCACAGGATTGTGTCCTGACAGTTCTGGAATATCTCCAGAGAGGGAAACTCCACCACCTCTCTGTGAGGTGTGTGTGAGGCCAGAAAGGATGAGAAGCCCCAGCAGCAGAGCAGAGACCTGCCTCCAAAGTAAGCATTCCTGTCTTGCCTCTGGCCCAACAGTTTGCTTGTCTTGGGCCACAGTGAGAGGCCACTGACAACCAAATGTCCTTTGCCTCTCCCATCTTCCCTCCTGGTTCATAAGCAGGGCCAGGGCTCCTCTTCAGAGGGTGAACTCCCTTCAGTACCATGAGGATAAGGAAGAACTTGAACTGGGAGTCCACCTTCCTCCATGAATACCCCAGCCAGAGGTTATTGTGCGTGAGGAGGTGGCTCCAGGATAATTTATATGTGAAAAGGTTATATCTTTTGGGGCATACCCAAAGATTATACCCTTGGGAGTAAATTTGGATGATGTGCTTCCTCGTCTGACTGGGTCAGGCAGTGTGTCTCTGTGCTTTGTCATTCCTGGTGGCCACTTGGGCAGCTCCCATGGAGGTTTAAAAAGTGTCATGGAAGTGTTGGGGCCTGGATTTTGGTGTCAGAGCTTGCAGTTAGACATCTGCAGCGGCTGGTTCTGTCTGAGTCTTTCCCTGGGTCTGGCTCGATAATTTGGCTTATCAGAAAATTAAGAGATTGCTGTAGCCAACTTGTTGAAGTGATTAAACTTTGCTATTAGGCTCTTCTAGCTGATAAAGCTAAAATGGAGCGAGGGTTTGATGTAATTAGATAAAGTGCTCGTGCTAGAAACCAGCCATGGACTTTAAAACAAAGCTATGGCTGGAAGAGTTTTCTCAGAGGTCTGTTGAATTCCCCATCAGTGACAACATTTTAATCAAGGAAAATCTTTCCAACCATTTCCGCTCCAGTTGAGATGACAATTAACAAAGCCCTGTTAATGCAGAAGTGCACCATGGCTGCTGTAATAGTTTTGTTATGAGAAGGCAGTAAATGAGCCCCACCAGAGCAAGCTCTCCTGCTCCCTCTTCCAGCATCCTGCCGGGGCTCCTCAAGGCACAGAGCTGATGCAGTCCAGACTTCCTGAGCTCAGTGACAGGGGCCTTTTCTCAGGTCGTGGGACAGTGGCACTCACCCCAGCTCCCAGCCTCTGCCTGGAGCTCTTTACAAGCTCCATCCCCTTCCTAAGTGGGAGCAGCAGCATGTGGAGTGGGAAGAGAGGGGACAGGAGGAGAGGCAGCCTCAGACTGTTTGTGGGGAGCTGAACTATCATGGCATGTTAGTTCTGGTGCATGAGCCATGATGTTACCCCTGGGTGCCCATGATAGTCCCTGAAACAGCTGCTCTTAGAATCACAGAATTATTTGGGTTGGAAGGGACCTTAAAGCTCATCTCATTCTTTGCCCTGCTGTGGGCAGGGACACCTTCCCCTAGAGCTCAGAGCCCCCTGTCAGTGCCTGTTGTGGCAGGGGATCCCATAGCACGGGCTAGACCCCTGGGTTTGGAAAGAGACTTTGCCCAGGCACAGGCTGGTGCTGAAATAACTGAAAAAGCTCAGTGGATTTGAATCCCTGATGGTTTTCCCACTTGCCTGTGTCCCCATCTGCAGCGAAACAGCTCTTGCTGATGTTTTTTCCCTGGTTCCTTTCATCCTGTTATAAGTTAAATCAAGGGGATGTTTTTATTCTAAACCTGTGGGACAGTACTAAAGGATGAAAATAGAAAGTGCTCCCATATGTTCAGTGTCCAGCCCTGACATCTCTCTAGTGATCAAACAGGCAAATCCTGGAAAGCAGCCCACTCCCCTTTGTGCTCTTCCCGTGCTCTTCCCAGCGTTTTGATGCCTGGTGTGTGAATTCCCCAGGCTCTGGTTGGTAGTACAGTTATTAAAGAGGGGGCAAGGGCAGCAGCCTGAGCCTGTTGCTCTCTGTTAAATCCTGTACAACTGCTTCTCCTGCTGACAGGTGAACCTCTGAAGCACCAAGAGCTCTCTGAACTGCAGGGCTCTGCTGGGAGCTTGGGGAACACAGCCCACCTCTTAGCTGGAAAGGAAAAAAAAGTGGGATGTGCTCTTAACTCTATTTGACCCAAATTAAACAGCAATACAAACACGGCAGCTTAGGCCAGTGGTTGGGATGGATCCCAGAGGGAGGGATCCATCCCTTTCTGACCCTAAGCCAGAAAGCAAGCTTAAACCCATGCTGGGATTTCTCCCTTGCTGTCTCCATGGGAGCTGGAGAAGAAACAATCCTGTCTTAGCACAGCCCTGCCCATCCAAACAAATCCCACATGTCTCTGAGCACCTGGAACCAGGCAGAACAGGGAAAGCTCAGTAAGACAGGGACTGGCTCTTGATCTGGAACGTTGTTGCTACGGGACAACAAAGGGAATCTGCTCTTTGTTCTGAAACGCGGGAGAGGAGCTCTGGTGCACATGCTCGGGAAATAGGAGCTCAGACAGTCTGCTCTGAAAATGTGGTGGGGAGGCAGACCTGAGCAAAGCAATTCTGAATTAATCTTGTTTGGGAAAAACAGGAGGACAGATTAATTTAATGATGCTCGTGTTTTGTTTTCTAAGAAAACAAAGCACCCGTGCTGTCGCTGGGCAAATGCAAATGAATCCAGGCTGATTCCGAGCAGAAGATGCCACTCCCAGACAAATCAGATCAGTGGCTGAAGTGGAGATTACAACAATGAGTTGTCCAATGAGGAGTAAATGTACAGTCCAGCATCGTGGCAGGATATCCCTGTGGGATCATCAGTGTGGGGTTTCCCTGCGAGGAGGGGGATCGTGTATGGGGGGAGAACACAGAGACTGGTACCTTGTTGTGTTTTGGTTTGGTTTTTTTGTGCCTTGCACATTCATGGTGCTTGCCTGACCCCAGCTGCTCTTTGTTTTGATCTCTGTGTGATGGTTTGTTCAGGAAAACACCTGGCTGAAGTCAGGATTTCCTGCCTGGAGGAGTGGGGGGGGCTCTGTGTCGCTCACAGGTGGGCACAGGAGGGTGGGAAGAGCTGGTATGTCCTGGGCATCTTGTGGGAGGAGTGAGGACAATTCTGGGCTGTATGGACAGGCTGGAAGGAGACCCCGGGCAGAAGACACCCCAGAGACTGTGGCAGGGGACTGACCAGGAGGTGGGAAGCTGTGTGAATATCCCTAGCAACCCCGGGGGAGGGAGGAGCAAAGCATGTAAAGCAGATACAGAGTGCCATTTCACACCCCCTTCTACTTATCTTCTCCAGTCCTGAATCCCCCTTTGTTAATGCTTCCCAAAGCTGTTGCTGGCCAGGCTTCCCCTCCCAGGCTGAACACAGCCAATAGTGATGTTCACTTCACTTGCTCATTAAGCAGCATCTCAGCTGCTTTGTCTGACCCCATCCATCATTCCCCCCCATGCCCAAGGGGTTTGGGGCTGATGGTGGAGATGCTGCAGCAGTGCCCACAGGAGAGCTGGGAAGGAAAAGAGGGATTTTTTTTCATTCTTTGTTTTGTTTTCATGCAAGAACTCCAGGAGTTTGTCTTGCAGGACTAACCACAGCCTGCCCGTGTGTGCTGGGAGACAGGGAGGGGAGTAAAGGCATCCCAAGAAACTCTCAGGAGCATTCTTGGGGCTCAAAGCATGCAAGTACTACCAAAGAGGGGGATTGTGGTGTGGTTTTGGGGTGCTCAGGATGTCCTACATGTCTGGGTGGGACATCACAGAGCAGGCAGCAACTGGAACCAGAGGATGAGACAGAGGGAGACACGGATGTTCATGAGCTTACACAGCACGGGGGTGGATACCCAGCACAGAGACAACTGGCCACAACTGCAGGCTTTACCCACATCCTTCCTAAAAATAAACACTTGCTAACCCAGGAGCCACAGGGATGTCTGTGGGTGTTGTAAACCTCTAGGAATTTACGTTGTGAGTTTGTGTTGTGTTCTAGTGGAGCCAGCAGCAAGCGAAATGTTTACTCCAAAGCACATGCACAGGGCCACCAGTGGGGCTGTCCAGGTAAACACTGAACCCTTTACCTTCTGCTCATTCATGGAAAACACGTGGGAACATGTCAGGGCATATGCCAGGCAGAGGTGCTGGACAAGCTGCAGCTTCTCATTGGGGGGGGCAAGAGGAGCAGCAGAGAGAACGGCCACTGTGGGAAGTTTAGGAATTAATTATAATCCTCAGGTTTCCATCCCAAATGCACCCAAGGGTTGAAGCCAGCAGTGGTGTTTGCTTTGCCTGCTGTGGTTCCACATGTTTTGCTGGTGAATTAGAAAGGTCTTTGGGCTGAAATTCCCACTTCTTCTGACTGGTTTATTTTTGCCTGCCTGTTTAGTATTGAGTGTTTAGTGACTCCTGCCCAGCTCCTGCAGCATGTGGAGTGTGGGGCTGCTCTAAACTGCCACCCCAAGGCCTTGGGAAGGTGTGAGTGGAGCCCTGCAGCCTGAAAAATCACAGCAGCCTCTGGAG